GTTTCAGAGAGTTTCGTAATGATTTGTTGTTTCGGAGTGTTTCGAGATATAGTTGTTTTGAAACCATTTTTAATTGAACAATTCCTATTATTCATTCATATATATATATATATATGTATGTATATATATGTATATATGTATATATATGATAGATAAGATAGATTGATCGATTGATCGATCAATAGATAGGGTGGGTGGATGGATGGATGGACAAATAAGATAGATAGATAGATAGATAGATAGATAGATAGATAGATAGGGTAGGTGAATAGATAGATAGGGTAGGTGGATAGATAGATAGATAGATAGATAGATAGATAGATAGATAGATAGATAGGGTAGGTGGATAGATAGATAGATAGATAGATAGATAGATAGATAGATAGATAGATAGATAGGGTAGGTGAATAGATAGATAGGGTAGGTGAGATAGATAGATAGGGGGTATGGATAGATAGATAGATAGATAGATAGATAGATAGATAGATAGATAGGGGGTGAGATAGATAGATAGGGTAGGTGGAATAGATAGATAGATAGATAGATGATGGTAGGTGGATAGATAGATAGATAGATAGATAGATAGATAGGATAGATAGATAGGTAGAGTGGATAGATATATAGATAGATAGATATGGATAGATAGATAGATAGATAGATAGATAATAGATAGATAGATAGATAGATAGATAATAGATAGATAGATAGATAGATAGATAGATAGATAGATAGATAGATAGATAGATAGATAGATAGATAGATAGTAGGTGTATAGATAGGGAGCTAGATAGATAGGCAGCTAGATAGATAGATAGATAGATAGATAGATAGATAGGGTAGGTGGATAGATAGATAGATAGATAGATAGATAGATAGATAGATAGACATGATAGATAGACATGATAGATAGATAGATAGATAGATAGATAGATAGATAGATAGATAGATAGACATGATAGATAGATAGATGGATAGGGTAGGTGGATAGATAGGATAAGATATATAGGATGGAAGGATCGATGGATGGATGAATAGAGAGAGAAAGAGAGAAAATGATGAATGGATGGATGGATTGATAGAGATAGAGATGATGGATGGATAGATATAGATAAATAGATAAGATAGACATGATGGATAGAGAGGATTGATTGATGGATGAATGGATGGATAGATAGATGGATGAATTGGATAAATAGGTAAATAGATATAGATAGATCGACAGATAGATAAATGGATGGATTGGATAAGTAGGTAAATAGATGATAGATAGATAGATAGATAGATAGATAGATAGATAGATAGATAGATAGAGTGGGTCATTGTCCTGATCGGACAGATGGATGGATGGATAAATAAATAGATAGATGGATTGATGGATTGGATAGGTAGGTAAATAGACGATAGATAGATAGATAGATAGATAGATAGATAGATAGATAGGGTCATGGTGCTGATGGGACAGATGGATAAATGGATGGATGGATGGATAGATAGATAGTAGGGCTGGGCGGTTTCGTTTCGTAATTTCGTAATTCATTAAAAATTCGTTATTTTTTTATAACGAAGCAATTTTGAACCATTCAGGAGCATCTGAAAAACGAAACGAATTTTTCAATTCGTTTCGTGATTGCTTCGTATTCGTTTCGTATTCGTTTCGAAATCGTTTCGTTATTATTTCCGCATGTCTGGGGCAAGTTTTACAGCTGTTGTTTGTTTAATTAGTGAAAAAAAATTATAAATATCACACCAACAGTCAACAACAGAGGGAGAGGGAAGCTTCAAAAGTTCCCCCTGTCCCATATGGAGGTTTTTTAGCATATTGCGCGGTCGCGTCCGCCATTAACGAATCGATTCGTATTCGTTTCGAAATTGTTTCATAATTTACAAAATTTCGTAAATATCGAACTTTTTTAAAGAAAAATTTCGGAATTCATTTAAATATCGAAACGCAAAAAACCCCAAAAAACGAGTTTAGAAACAAATTTTTCCGTGGTTGCCCAGCCCTAATAGATAGATAGATAGATAGATAGATAGATAGATAGATAGATAGATAGGGTCATGGTGCTGATGGGACAGATGGATGAATAGATGGATGGATGGATAGATAGATAGATAGATAGATAGATAGATAGATAGACAGACAGATAGAGTAGGTGGTTGGGTGGAAATGTAGATTGTAAAAGAGGGGCATCGGATAAAAGCGTCGGGTAAGACGGAATGTTGGATAAGCCAAGGCCGGATAAGTATTCCAGAGTGATGGTGCCACTGCTGTGAAGGCTCTGCATCTGGTTGCTGTTAGACGTAAGGTCTTGACACTGGGGACTTCCAATAGATCTTGGTCCTCAGAATGGAGGGATCTCTGGGGTTGGGAGGGGGTGAGGCGGTCCCTCAGGAACATCGGTCCCAGACCATGCAAGGCCTTAAAGGTGAGTCCCATCCCTTTGAAAGTGATCTGGTGCTCAATGGGTAAGATTGGGGTGATGTGGCATCTCATAGGAGTTTCCGCAAGAAACCGAGCGGCTGCGTTTTGTACCAGCTTGAGCTTCCGGATCCGGACAGAGGAAGGCTAATGTAGAGGGCGTTACAGTAGTCCAGTCTTGAGATGACCGTGGCCTGGATCACCGTAGCCAGGTCGACACTGGACAGGGAGGGGGCCAGCCGTCTAGCTTGCCGCACGTGGAAGAAGGCGGTTCTGCTCACGGCGGAAAGAGACCTGGGCCTCCATCCTCAGCAGAGGGTCCAAAAGGACTCCCAGACTCTTGACCAATGATGATGGGCGTAGTGCCTCGCCATCCAGGGTAGGCAGCTGGATGTCCCCACTGCCCAGTTGACCCAGCCATAGGATCTCCGTCTTTGCTGGATTCACCCTCAACCTGCTGGTACGGCCTCGAGGCACTGATGGAAACAATCGGGTACAGAGTCCGGTCGGCCTTCCATCTTCAGCACCAGCGGAGTGTCATCGGCGTACTGGTCACACTCCAGCCCAAAACTTCGAACCAGCTGAGCAAGTGGTCGCTTAGAGATGTTAAACAAGAGAAGGGAGAGAATGGCCCCCTGAGGAGGAACCCCACAAGAGAGAGCAGTGGTTCTCAACCTTTCTAACACCGTGACCCCTAAGTATGCTTCCTCATATTGTGGTGACCCCGTTTGCCAGCTGGCGGGAGCACGAGAGACATGAGGGAGGCCTCGCGCAGCCATTTTGAGGGGGCGGGGCCAACCGAGGCACCTTCGCGACCCCCAGAAAATGGCCCAACGACCCCTCTGGGGGTCGCGACCCCCAGGTTGAGAACCGCTGAGATAGAGGGACCTCTCAGAGACCAGACCTCCCCCCTCCACGCGCTGTCCACGGTTGTGAAGAAAGGAGGGGAGCCAGTTGAAAGCTCTCCCCCGGACTCACTCCACCAACAGCAAGGCGGTGGGTCAAAAGATGGTGGTCGAGTGTGTCCAATGCTGCTGTGAGATCCAATAACACAAGCAGTGCAGACCCGCCCTGGTCAAGCTGGCATCGAAGGTGGTCCATGATGGAGACTAGCACAGTCTCTGTCCCGTGCCCCGCACGGAAGCCGGTATGGAAGGGATCTCGTCTGGCTGTGTCGTCTAGGAATTGCTGAATGATGCGGAATCACGCAGGGTGTTGTGCGAGCGAAACCAAACTGCAGCCTTCTCCAAAGGTCTAATGTCTCTTGTTGGTTTTTTAAACTGTGCTACCAGAGTGCAATCCATTCCTGGTTCTGTACGTATGTTTCCAAAGGATTTGGGGGCTGGAAAAAGACCCCCTTAAACCCTGTAAGGCCCCATTTCCCTGTTGTGGTCCCTGTGAATCGTACATGTGGTAGTTTCTGTGCCTGCGCAGAGCAATTTCAGAACCTTCTAGAGCAGCGGTTCTCAACCTGGGGGTCGCGACCCCCAGGGGGGTTGTTGGGCCATTTTTGGGGGGTCGTTACATATATTTAAAACACATACATAACTAAATTAATCCTGACATAACAGGTCAAATAATAATAATAGTAATAATAATAATAATAATAATAATAATAATAATAATAATAGATACATCACACAGTCCTAGACGCTTGGGAAGTGTTTGACTTGTGATTTTGTGATATGAAATCCAGCATATATATCTCATTTTATGTCATTAAAATAAGATTAATAATAGGTATGTGAGTACATAAAAACATTCTCCTGTTCGAATGCTACATTGTGTCCAAATTTTGAAGCAATCGGTAAAGTATTTTGGGAGTTTTTAGGTCATGCACAAACAAACATTTACATTTTTGTTGATGTAAATGTTCGTTTGTGCATGACCTAAAAACTCCCAAAATATTTCACTGATTGCTTCAAAATTTGGACACAATGTAGCATTCGAACAGGAGAACGTTTTTATGTATTCACATCCCTATTATTATATAGATGTCACACCTTTGACAGGTAAAAACATGCTTGTCATCAAAAACAGTGCCATCTGCTGGATGTCCAAGCAACAGATTGTGAAGTGACCCTGTCAGGGCCGGCGCCGGCCATTAGGGAGCAGAACCGGAAGAAAAAGAGTGGGAAAAGGGTGGCGGGGCAGGTAGGTGAGGAGGCGGCATGACACCTCTGCCACCTCCTTGATCGCAGGTCCCAAGTGGCGGTGACGAGGAAGAGGAAGGTAAAGAGGCCGAGGGGACGGGTCTTCTTCCCTCCCTGCTCTCTTTACCTTCCTCTTTCTCCTTCTCACCACCGCCAGGGCTTCTTGTTGCCGGTGGCGAGGAGGAGGAAGAGGAAGGCAAAGAGGGTGAGGTAGGAAGAGGAGCTGCCCCCTCGCCCTCTTTACCTTCCTCCTCCTCTCCGCCACCGGGGCCTCTTGGTGCAACTTGGTGACAAGGAAGAGGAAGAAAAAGAGGGTTGAGGGGCAGCAAGACATCCTGAAACCACTCTCCTTTTGCTTAAGTCTGACACTGAGTGTGGAAATGATCTTTTACTGCTTCTCTGCAGAGACTGAAACTGATTATTCTCAATCAGTCATTTGATTTGGTTCTTTGCTTGAAGGACAGTATCCTAACTTGCTTGGGTTCACTTTCAGACTCCTACGAAAGAATATTGCGGCATATTTCCAGAGAAGCGGACACGGTGGTCGTGGCGGTGGAGTAAGTGGCGGTTTTGCTATTACGTTCAGATCTGTTTTCCATGAGGATGCAAAGTGTCCGGACAGCAGAATTAATGCATTTCAACACCCCTCTAACTGTGATGGCTATGAAATGATGAGAGTTGTAGTAAAGATATTTAGAAAGGAAAAAAAGAAGGGAAGAATAGAGGGTGGGAAGGAAAGAAGGGAAGATATATAGAAGGGAGGGAGGAAAGAAGGAAGAAAGGAAGGAAAGAGGGAAGGAGGGAGGAAGAAAGGAGAGAAGAAAGAGGGAAGGGAGAAAAAGAAAGAAAAATGAAGGGGAGAACAGGAGGGAGGGAGGGAGGGAGGAAAGAAGAAAGCGATGAAGAAAGGATGGGAAGGAGGAGGGAGAGAGAAAAGAAAGAAGGAATGGAAGAAGGAAGAAAGAGAGAAAGGGAGGGAGATGGAGGAAGGAAGGAGAAAGAGGTGGAAAAAGGAAGGAATAGAAGAAGGAAGAAAATAAGGAGGGAGGAGGAAGTAAGGAGAGAAGAAGGAAAGGAGGGGAGGAAGGAAGGGAAGAAGAAAGAGATGGAAAAGGAAGGAATAGAAGAAGAAAAGAAGAGGGAGGGAGGAAGAAGGAAGGAGAGGAGGAAGGAAGGGGAAAGAGGTGGAAAAGGGAAGGAATAGAAGAAGGAAGAAAAGAAGGGAGGGAGGAAGAAGGAAGGAAGGAAAGAAGAAGGAAAGGAGGGGAGGAAGGAATGGAAGGAGAAAGGTGGAAAAAGGAAGGAATAGAAGAAGGTAGAAAAGAAGGGGGAGGGAGGAAGGAGAGAAGAAGGAAAGGAGAGAAGGAAATGAGGGGAAGAAGAAAGAGGTGGGAAAAGGGAGGAAGGAAGGAGAAAGAAATGATCGATGGAAAGAAGGAAAGAGAGTAGCAAATACGTTATTGTATGTAGATGACACCGTAACACTGTCGTCCTCTTTAGGTACGGGTTAGGACCGGAACACGCCTACCCCAACCAGTACGTTGAGTGCGAGAAGGCCACCGTCCACTTCATGAAGCACGTGGCTGACTACAATGTCGACGCCTCCCGGATCATAGTCTCCGGGGACAGCTGCGGAGCCAATTTCGCCACCCGGATTTGCCAGCTGCTGGTTTCCCGGAACGACCTCCCCCGGATCCATTCCCAGGTCTTGATCTACCCGGGTCTCCAAGGCATGGACTTCTACTTGCCGTCCTACCAGCAGAACAGCAAAGTGCCCATCCTGTGGAGGGAGACGGTCATCTACTTCTGTTGCCTTTACCTCAACAAGTGCACCTCGTTCATTGACGACGTCCTGGAGAGCCGCCACGTCCCGGAGAGCGTCCTGCGGAAATACCGGAAGTGGGTCAGCGCGGACTTGATCCCCGAGGAATTCAAAGCGAGGGGCTACCGGCCCCAAGACACCGGCTTGTACGAGTTCAAGCCCAAGGTCTACGAGGAGATGAAAGCCGTCTTGGAAGAGAACTTCTCTCCGCTTTTCGCCCCGGACGAGACGATCGCGAAGCTCCCACAGACGTATATCTTGACCTGCGAGTTCGACGTCCTCCGGGACGATGGGTTGTTGTACAAGAGGCGGCTGGAGGACAACGGGGTCCCGGTGAAGTGGGTCCACGTGGAGAACGGCTTCCACGGCGTCGCCATCCTCTTCGGATATGGGTTGTTATCCTTCCCGTCCGCGGAACGGATTGTGCGCGAGACCACAGATTACATCAAAGGACTATGAAGAGAGGAAACGGAGACAGAAATGAAGCCAACGCAAGAGCTGAACTGATTCTTCATCCACCTCATCTTCTACTACGCCTTTGGTACCACGTTCCCTTAAACTCTATTTCTAAACTTTGGTGGAAAGCACGAAATTCAGCATCAAGTACAGACGTGAACCTGATTTTGGGGACTGAATCATCTCACTGGAAACTGAGGAAAGATATGGACGTCCAACCAAGTGAAATCATCTCTCAAAAATGACTTTAGTTCCTTGAAGAGATCAATTCACAAGTGTAGTGGTGGTCAACAGCCATGATGTTGGTGGTCAACTGAGGAACGATATGGACGTCCTAGCAAGTTAAATCATCTCTCAGAAATGACTTTGGTTCCTTGAAGAGATCCATTCACAAGTCTAGTGGTGGTCAACAGCAATGATGTTGGTGGTCAACAGCCATGATGGTCAACAGCCATGATGTTGGTGGTCAACTGAGGAAAGATATGGATGTCCAACCAACCAACATCATGTTGGCGGTCAACTGAGGAACAATATGGACGTCCAACCATGTGAAATCATCTCTCCAAAATGACTTTGGTTCCTTGAAGAGATCAATTCACAAGTCTAGTGGTGGTCAACAGCCATGATGTTGGTGGTCAACTGAGGAAAGATATGGACATCCAACCAAGTGACATCATCTCTCAGAAATGACTTTGTTTCCTTGAAGAGATCCATTCACAAGTCTAGTGGTGGTCAACAGCCATGGTGGTCAACAGTCATGACATTGGTGCTCAACTGAGGAAAGATATGGACGTCCAACCAAGTGAAATCATCTCTCAAAAATGACTTTAGTTCCTTGAAGAGATCAATTCACAAGTCTAGTGGAGGTCAACAGCCATGGTGGTTAACAATCATGATGTTGGTGGTCAACAACCATGGTGGTCAACAGTCATGATGTTGGTGGTCAGCTGAGGAAAGATATGGACGTCCAACCAAGTGAAATCATCTCTCAGAAATGTCTTTGGTTCCTTGAAGAGATCCATTCACAAGTCTAGTAGTGGTCAACAGTCATGATGTTGGTGGTCAACAGCCGTGGTGGTCAACAGCCATGATGTTGGTGCTCAACTGAGGAAAGATATGGACGTCCAACCAACCAACATCATGTTGGCGGTCAACTGAGGAACGATATGGACGTCCAACCAAGTGACACCATCTCTCAGAAATGACTTTGGTTCCTTGAAGAGATCAATTCACAAGTCTAGTGGTGGTCAACAGCCATGATGTTGGTGGTCAACTGAGGAAAGATATGGACATCCAGCCAAGTGGCATCATGTCTCAAAAATGACTTTGGTTCCTTGAAGAGATCCATTCACAAGTCTAGTGGTGGTCAGCAGCCATGGTGGTCAACAGTCATGATGTTGGTGGTCAACAGCCATGATGGTCAACAGCCATGATGTTGGTGGTCAACTGAGGAAAGATATGGACGTCCAACCAAGTGAAATCATCTCTCAGAAATGTCTTTGGTTCCTTGAAGAGATCCATTCACAAGTCTAGTGGTGGTCAACAGCCATGGTGGTCAACAGTCATGATGTTGGTGGTCAACTGAGGAAAGATATGGACGTCCAACCAAGTGAAATCATCTCTCAGAAATATCTTTGGTTCCTTGAAGAGATCCATTCACAAGTCTAGTGGTGGTCAACAACCATGATGTTGGTGGTCAACAGCTATGGTGGTCAACAGCCATGATGTTGGTGGTCAACTGAGGAAAGATATGGATGTCCAACCAAGTGAAATCATCTCTCAGAAATGTCTTTGGTTCCTTTAAGAGATTCATTCACAAGTCTAGTGGTGGTCAACAGCCATGGCAGTCAACAGCCATGACGTTGGTGGTCAACAGCCATGGTGGTCAACAGTCATGATGTTGGTGGTCAACTGAGGAAAGATATGGAAGTCCAACCAAGTGAAATGACTTTGGTTCCTTGAAGAGATCCATTTACAAGTCTAGTAGTGGTCAACAGGCATGGTGGTCAATAGCCATGATGTTGGTGGTCAACAGCCATGGTTGCGGCTTCTTCATCAAAAGAAGTATAGAGTTTGAAACTATATGATATGAAGGATACCTACGTTCCTGACCGTGGTGACCTGAAACCAGAAGGCCATTAAATTTCTGAACTTCAGTAACAGCATGCCATAGAGTCACCTTGGAAGACACGAATCTGGGAACATCTGCTGGACACACAATCATATCACCTGGAAGACCTAGCAAAGTTCTCAGAGTGGACATTTTCTCCTCCCTGGATACGAGTAAACAAGATTACGGATTTCTCTTCACCAGTTTTAGGGATTTTACTGGAATTTGAAGTATGAATTGGGACCAAGGTTGGTAGGGTACATACAGGCCTCAGGAACGAAGACCTGAGACTTCTCTCTGTGTGTGTGTGTTTGTTTGTTTGTTTGTTTATCTATTTATTTATTTATTTTATGACATTTTTAAGATCCCGCATTAGGGTTCGAACATTGCCTATTTAAATAAATACATGAGAAGATGTTCACCACGTCTCATTTATGAATCGCCCAGACAAGCATTTCCAAACATGCCTCCGACGGCATCTTCTCGTCCGCCGTCTTCCCTTTGAGTTACTCTCTGTCCATTATCAGATGCCATATCATGACATTCTTCCTACTCACCCAAATGCCTGAGATGTTGGCCAACAAGGAAGTTCTGCCATTTCGGGGTCACACTTCATAACATGCCCAATACCTGAGATATTATGCAGCAAGGTTGCCCCATTGATTTCACATGCGGCAATTGGTAGAACGTGGATCCTGATGGAGATGGGGAAGGGATACCGACTCCATGGAGCTGACTTGCACCATGATGGAGATGTGGAGATATGCATCTAAATAGTCTATGAATAGACTCAGGATGTGGAGATATGCATCTATATAGTCTATGAACACCAGAGGACACCAGAGAGCTAAAAAACCTGATACTTGTCTCCATAAGTCAATAATGACCTATGAATGAGAGAACCCCCCCCCCCCAATGTCCCCTTATCTTTAGGTCTTGCAAAGTATATTCAGCATTGACTTATGGTGGACTCATGAATGAACAACATTATGGTGGATGCATGAATGAAAGTCCTCCATGTCCCCTTATCCTTAGGGCTTACCAAGTATACTCAACATTGACTCATGGTGGACCCATGAACGAGAGACCCCCATGTCACCTTACCTTTAGGTCTTGCAAAGTATACTCAACATTGACTTATGGTGGACCCATGAATGAATGATGTTATGGTGGATGCATGAATGAAAGTCCTCCATGTCCCCTTATCCTTAGGGCTTACAAAGTATACTCAACTTTGACTTATGGTGGACCTATGAATGAGGGAGCTTCATGTCTCCTTATCCTTGGGGCTTAGAAAGTATACTCAATGTTGACTTATGGTGGACCCATGAATGAATGATGTTATGGTGGATGCATGAATGAAAGTCCTCCATGTCTCCTTATCCTTAGGGCTTACAAACTATACTCAACATTGACTTATGGTGGACCTATGAATGAGGGACCTTCATGTCTCCTTATCCTTAGGGCTTACAAACTATACTCAACATTGACTTATGGTGGACCTATGAATGAGGGACCTTCATGTCCCCTTATCCTTAGGGCTTACAATGCATACTCAACGTTGACTTACGGTGGGCCTGTGAATAATAGACCCCCATGTCCCCTTATCCTTAGGGCTTACAACGTATACTGAACGTTGACTTATGGTGGACCTATGAATGAAGGACCTTCATGTCTCCTTATCCTTAGGGCTTACAAAGTATACTCAACGTTGACTTATGGTGGACCTATGAATGAGGGACCTTCATGTCCCCTTATCCTTAGGGCTTACAAAGTATACTCAACGTTGACTTATGGTGGACCTATGAATGAGGGACCCTCATGTCCCCTTATCCTTAGGGCTTACAAAGTATACTCAACGTTGACTTATGGTGGACCTATGAATGAGGGACCCTCATGTCCCCTTATCCTTAGGGCTTACAAAGTATACTCAACGTTGACTTATGGTGGACCTATGAATGAGGGACCTTCATGTCTCCTTATCCTTAGGGCTTACAAAGTATACTCAACGTTGACTTATGGTGGACCTATGAATGAGGGACCTTCATGTCCCCTTATCCTTAGGGCTTACAAAGTATACTCAACGTTGACTTATGGTGGACCTATGAATGAGGGACCCTCATGTCCCCTTATCCTTAGGGCTTACAAAGTATACTCAACGTTGACTTATGGTGGACCTATGAATGAGGGACCTTCATGTCTCCTTATCCTTAGGGCTTACAAAGTATACTCAACATTGACTTATGGTGGACCCATGAATGAGGGACCTTCATGTCCCCTTATCCTTAGGGCTTAGAAAGTATACTCAACGTTGACTTATGGTGGACCTATGAATGAGGGACCCTCATGTCCCCTTATCCTTAGGGCTTACAAAGTATACTCAACGTTGACTTATGGTGGGCCTATGAATGAGGGACCTTCATGTCCCCTTATCCTTAGGACTTAGAAAGTATACTCAGCATTGACTTACGGTGGACCTATGAATGAGGGACCCTCATGTCCCCTTATCCTCAGGGCTTACAAAGTATACTCAACGTTGACTTACGGTGGACCTATGAATGAGGAACCTTCGTGTCCCCTTATCCTCAGGGCTTACAAAGTATACTCAACGTTGACTTACGGTGGACCTATGAATGAGGGACCTTCATGTCCCCTTATCCTCAGGGCTTACAAAGTATACTCAATGTTGACTTATGGTGGACCCATGAATGAGGGATCTTCATGTCCCCTTATCCTTAGGGCTTACAAAGTATACTCAACGTTGACTTACGGTGGACCTATGAATGCGGGACCTTCGTGTCTCCTTATCTTTAGGGCTTACAAAGTATACTCAACGTTGACTTACGGTGGACCTATGAATGTGGGACCTTCATGTCCCCTTATCCTTAGGGCTTACAATGTATACTCAACGTTGACATGGTGGACCTATGAATGAGGGACCCCCATGTTCCCTTATCTTTAGGGCTTACAAAGTATACTCAACGTTGACTTATGGTGGACCTATGAATGAGGGACCCTCATGTCCCCTTATCCTTAGGGCTTACAAAGTATACTCAACGTTGACTTATGGTGGACCTATGAATGAGGGACCTTCATGTCTCCTTATCCTTAGGGCTTACAAAGTATACTCAACGTTGACTTATGGTGGACCTATGAATGAGGGACCCTCA